ATGCTATTTTGCCAATTTGCTATGACAATCTGCATAGCAATGGCAGTGCACTGTGTTGAAATGTCTGTTTCTCTTCCTTCAGATCCCAAACTATGGAGTCTGAATGAAACTGGTATTTCACAGCTATGGCAGAATGCATATTTCTCACTGGAGGCCACAGGGCTGTTTCTTCCAACTGCTGTGTTGCAGCAACTTGACACTAAACAGCAGGTGCATCCTGTGTTGTGCAGTCAGCACTATGTTTCCCAGGCAGACCTTCCAGCTCTATGCTATAGCTTAGGTCTAGGTGCCAAATATAGCCTCTGTCCATTGAAGTGTTTCCTCTGCAATTGAACATTTTAATATGTTTTATTGCAATTTGGATATACTTATGTGACTACATTTATCAAGGTACAAGTGATAAACTGATCAACATTTTGGACCATGACCTGCTTGGAAATTAGCCAATCGCTTAAGTGAAGTGAACACATTGTGTAATATTCTCTATTGAACAGGAGTAGGAAATCCATGTTGGGACTTTGACCTTACAGTCTAGGTTGATACTCCTGTTCAGATGGGCATCAATGACCTCACGGCATCACAATCCCCTGGATTAAATTGGTCATTCACTTCCTTTTTGTTTGTGGGGCATTGTGTGCAAATGGTCTGCCTCATACACCTACATAATGCATAGTCACTTCACTTTACAGTAACTCATGTGAAGGCTTTGAGTTGCAAAATGAAAGAGCTAGAAAATCACAAGAGAAAAAGTTTATTCTTCATATATTCATTTGGATTTTCTCAATTCAGGAACCACAGTGAATTAGAGGTGTGCTATTCTTGATAAATTAACATTGTGCTCCATTTTTCCACATCCATTTAGAAACTACATAGAAATATATAGACGGTTACAACACAGAAACAGGCCTTTTCTGTACCAGTGATTATTACTCCACATTAGGCTCTCCCTCTCCTAATCAACCTCTCTCAAACCCCTCTTCCCACGTGTTTTCAAAAATTCGTTGATGCGGATTCAACCGTCAACCACAGTGTCCGGCAGTGAATTCCACATTCTCACCTCCTTTGTTTAAAGAAGTTCCTCCTAAACTTCCTTGTAGATCTCCTATTGGTTCTCATATTGATATCCTCTTGTTCTGAACCCACTGACAAGTGATTTTTCTTGTAAATATTAATGTAAATTAATATTTCAGGCATAGTATATCACAAACATCAACTGCAGTGTGTGTGGGGAAACAGCCATTAAAAAGTGTTTGCTATTGGAAATAAAGCTGGCCTCAAGACAACACTACATTGTATTAGTGCTGAGAATTCTCTCCGATGTTTTTGTCTGCGATCTTATAAGAGGAAAGATTGGCTACCAGACTAAATCTTGGCACAGATGGTTTTATTTCTGTAAGATGCTGCGAGATGTTTTGACAAATAAGGATGTAGAAAATACACATTATTTCTATCTCCAGTGCAGTGCTGGGATGTGCTGTAGTGTTGGAGGTGGTCCTTCAGATGAAATGTTGAACATTCTCTACAGGCGAAGATTAAAGGTCCCATAGCACTACAGTGTTAGAGAAGAGAAGGGAGTTTCTCCTGGTGTCCAGGTCAACAATTCCACAGATTGGTCATTCACTTCATGGCTGCTTTGCGGGACTTTGATGTGCAAACAGTGCTTTTTCTGCGTTCGCCTACAAAACATACAGTCATTATGCTCGCTGGTATACCCTGTGAAGCTCTTTGAGTTAAACTCCTGACATGAAAGGCTCGCTACAGTAAACCACATAAATCGTATCAGTTGTGACAATACATTTACAACAACAAGACGTCGGGAGGACGTCCCAAGGCGCTGCACAGTTGCGTCAGGACCCGAGCAGGGGGAAATGGTCAGGGTGAGGGGAGGGAAGGGAGGGAGGGAGCGAGGAGGGGGTAAATGGTCAGAGTGAGGGGAGGGAAGGGAGGGAGCGAGGAGGGGGGAAATGGTCAGGGTGAGGGGAGGGAAGGGAGGGAGCGAGGAGGCGGGAAATGGTCAGGGTGAGGGGAGGGAAGGGAGGGAGCGAGGAGGGGGGAAATGGTCAGGGTGAGGGGAGGGAAGGGAGGGAGCGAGGAGGGGGGAAATGGTCAGGGTGAGGGGAGGGAAGGGAGGGAGTGAGGAGGGGGGAAATGGTCAGGGTGAGGGGAGGGAAGGGAGGGAGCGAGGAGGGGGAAGAGAGTCGAGAGGGGAGCTGAAGGCACGGTCAAAGAGAATTTAATTTAATATGACTTATGCAGAGTTATGTCAGACTTGCAAAGAATACAAACTCTTGAACGGTACTTGGGCAGATAGATCAACGACTCGGGTGATTATACGATTTCTACAGATCAGATATATAGGAGTTTTACCTTATCAAGTGCAAGGATTAATATTATTATCATTATTATTATTATTATTATTATCTTTTAATAATGGGACACTGGTACCGTTTCTGGGGTGTTACCAGCTCTGCTTGTGTGAGAGTGTGTGTGTAGTGTGTGTGTGACCAGCTCAAGGTCAGACAGATACTGAGGAACATTAGCAGCTTTGTCAGTGCTGGTGAGGCGGAGCTGAGGAGGGAGGGAGGGAGGGAGGGAGGGAGTAAGGATGACTTTAAGGAGCAGTGTGCTGGGTGACGTTGGGTGACAGAGAGGAGGGTGGGTGCCCCTCAGGAAACCAGGAGCAGGCAGCAACTGTGCAGCAGGCAGCACAGCAACTGTGCAGCAGGCAGCAACTGTGCAGCAGGCAGCACAGCAACTGTGCAGCAGGCAGCAACTGTGCAGCAGGCAGCACAGCAACTGTGCAGCAGGCAGCACAGCAACTGTGCAGCAGGCAGCAACTGTGCAGCAGGCAGCACAGCAACTGTGCAGCAGGCAGCAACTGTGCAACAGGCAGCAACACAAGGAACAGTGGCAACAAGGAACAGCAGCAGCAGCTACAGCTCTGGTACCCTCTCCCACAGCTGATCCCCCCCCTCCCCACACACACACACACACAGACACAGACCCACACACACACTGCAGGGTTTCTGGGCAGGAGTGCAGGACAGTGCAGGAGATGTACGTGGACTGTCTTGATTCCCAGTGAGTTATTCCCACGATCTTTTGCTGTGTGGAGGTGCTGCTCAGTGTGTGAAGGTGCTGTTGTGGTCTCTCTCTCTCTCTCTCTCTCCTCTCCAACCCTCCCCCCCCTCCCCCCCCCCCCCCCCCTGATTGTGAAAGATTTAAACCTCCTTAAGTTTAAACCTTTAAGTTTCTTAATCCACCAGGTTTCCTGCGGATGTTTTGCTTTAAATACTTTTAGAAATTGATGCACCGAATTTGATGTATATGTATATATACACTTTTTATCATATATATATGTGTGTGTGTGTTATTGAGGATGTTTGCAGGATTTCTCTGGTCTGTTGGGTGGATAATTGAATCAATTCCTCTGGCTTTTGGAGGGGCGGGGGTGTAAATCCAACAAGGTTCGTGTTAGCAACAGTTCTTAATGTACACCTTGTAAAATCTTCTTGCAATCTTTTTTTGGTTCAACGCAAACCTTCCGATGTTTATAAGTACTTGTCCTTGTGAGGAAAGAGAGAGAGAGGAGGTGGGGGGGAGTGGGGGGGGGTGGGGGGAGGGGAGAAAAAAAAAGCCAAAGGCCAAGGCGAGAAACCAAACGGTTTGGTTGACATATTTCAAATGTATGTCACTGAGTTCATTGTGAGTTAATCTTGAAACACTTTGGACGGGAGAACGACAGACACACAAAGATGTCTTGCAATTTTTTTTGAAACAGCAAAGGAATTGTCTTCGCAATTGTATTGTTACTGTGACACAGTTGGGTAATTGTATAATCCTGTATGCTATTATCTCGCCTCCCCCTGTGAAACTACCGTACGGAAGGATCTTGTGAAATAATCCATATATGCTTGTCAGATTGCCTTGATGGTCAGCTTTTTGTCACTTCCTAGTATGAAGTCATTCCAATGCTCCCATAAAACCTGTTTGGGCTCCTCACAGTGTTGTTCACTTTAGTTTCAGTTTGGCAACAGTCAGTCAGCAATCTCAGGCTATCACGGATCAGGCATTGAGAAGAGATTGAGATAAAATATCTTTTTTTTAACCTTTTTATTATTGGAGAGTTTGGGGGGTAATCTTACAACAAGATTTGTGTGGACGGTAAGGTAATGAATTCTGCATTTTCCCAGTAGAAGCATTGAGAGCTCTATTTTAAAGTTCAGCTTGTTTGATATTTCGAGGTGAAGCCCATTCTACGTTATTAGGTTGTGTGTAGAGTATGAAGAACATCATAGTTTCACTTCACAGAAATCGTATTGAGCTGGAAAGTGAATGATGGTTCACAAAATAATGTACACAATAATAGAGTTCATATGCTCCCATGTGATCTACATGCGTGCAAACATGCACTTATCATCTTTTAGCTCTATACCGACTCTGGCTCTAAATTTACAAAAAATTCAATTCTCGCTTCTGCAGAGGCTATGGAGCACTGACAGTGAGCTATACAGATGCTGCTCTGCACATGCCATAAATCTTCCCACTCCATCGTCTTTTGTCAGGATTTGTCCACCCAACAGCTTCAGAACCAAACTTGGAGTTTGAGTAGAGAAGACTGTTGTGGCCCCAAAATGTTTCAATGGCCCACAGGTATTACACTATCGATTGTTTACACCTGAATAAGAGGCATGATGTGTGAGAAGGCTGCCTGTGAAACCATACCCAGTTTGGGTCACCACTTTCAGGAGACGAGGGATAAGTCAAAAACTGGCATAAAAAAATATAGTGCAGATAGACTTCACCAACCAACCCACCCATCTAAAAGATGTGTCCGACAAAATGAAATTGACCAGGGGTCTAATATTATAATAATTTTGTCAATGACCACCACTTTCCTTGCACTAACATGTTGTGTTGTTCTTTTTAATATGCAAAGAATGTTTCCTTTTTTTAATCTCCTAGATTTTGTTTTATAGATTTCTCGTTCTCTTTTACAGATTGAAGGAAACTGTTGGTTCAAGAGTTGAAGGTCATATGGGAGCAAAACAACCGTTTCACAGTATGTGTCTGGAAGATGGGGGAGAAAGCCAGCTCCAATTTTATAAGAAAATTTAAAAATATCACATGTCTGCTCAGAAATGCAGAATTTTCCATTACGAGTAAAACTATAATAGAGGATTAGATAAGAAGGTAGTGTTTTCTAGCCTTTACTATAAAGCCTCCATCTCGACATCGATAGAGTGGGATGTGCAGTGCCCACAAGCTAGAAGTATAATAACAAACTACTGAATGCAAATTTTCTATTTTTAGTTTGGTCTACCTCAAAGTACGCATTTATGCACAAAAACTCTATAGTTATATATTTACCAACCATGTATCACCAACAGTGGCAACTGGTGTCATGAAGAGTATAAGGAAAAGGTCACTGACTGCACTTTCACAAACAGAAATACAGGATGAAGGGAATCAAAGTGTGAACGAGGGCTGGCAGAACGTAACAGAATGCACCACAAGTCTCAAACTCGATGGGAATATGGAAATCTCTACTATGTCGGATAATTCTGCAACAACTGCGGGGAGTGAATCAAAGGATCAAGATTGTATGGAGAAGCAAGACCTCAGGGACATGATCACAATCCCAAATGGCAGAACAATGGCACAAGATAATGAATGTTTCAAAGCAAAAGCAACCGGTTGCAGTGAGCCAATTACTGCTGGTCTGGAAGGGCACCTGCACGATCCCAGTGGGAAAGTAAATGAAAGCTTAAGCACAGCTGGTTCAATGGGTGTTGGAAACAAAAACGATTTGCAAATGAATATTGATAATGCACCAAACGAATGTGCTGAAGTATTTTCTGCACCCAAGGACGCAGAAAGCAGTGATTTATGGAGTGACTTCATGCAGTTTAACACTTTCTGTGAGACGTCTTCAAGGACAAATGATCAGAAAGCAGAGAGAAACTGTCTGCTGCCGAGTTCTGAAGTTCCCACTGCCAGGTTCAAGAGTTGTAGTTTCCCAGATCAGCATCAGAACTTATCCCAAATTCAAAAATGTACCATTGAGCCATGTCCTTTTGCACCAGTTATCAATGGCTGTTCACTGAAGCCTGATGCGTTAAAATTAGACATCCCTAGGAAAAGGGAGGAGGAATTGCCTAACAGGAATGATGTAGACCTGTCTGCAGAGCAGTGCCTCACCAGTCCATCATTAAAATGGAAGGCATTTAAAGATGATATACCATCAATAAATGAGACAGCGGGCTGCAGTAAAATGGGCTTGTCAGACTGCGGTATAGATGGAACACCATTACCTGCTAGCAATTCTCTCTTTCAAAAACAAAATTATTTTCATGCCAGCTCAGCTCTTAAGGTTTGTATTCCAACGTCATCTTATTTAAACCTTGATGAAAGTTTCTGTACATTCGAATGTAAATGAATGGCAATGTTGAGCCCTATCGAGCCAAAGCTACAACCAATACGTCCCCAAGAGGCAAGTGCACCCTGCATAGAATATGAGTCCAAGAATCAATTAATCTGTTGGATAATATAATGCAATTATTTCCCCCTTCACTCATGGCCCTGATTGTCTTACCCATGTCTCCCCTTGTCGATTCATGTCTCCTCCAGAAATAATAATTAATATGTGAAGCTGAAGATTTAGAGTGAGGCTCAATCCCAGGATGATTTAACATTTATTATGTCAACTCTGCGCTTCTGTATGGTCAAGCTCAAAGACCCTTTCGAGACAGTACTTTGGTCAGATGTTCAGATAGAAGCCCACTGAAATGGGAGGAACAAAAAAAAGCTTACAAAATATTATAATGGAATGTAAAAAGAAATCCTGAGGGTGAATGAGACTCCCCTTGTAAATGCTTGGGACATGTTGGTGCAAAACCGCATAAAATAATACCTGGGGCTCAGTTACTAGGCTGCAATCTACTTGACGGACTCTGATCTTCTGGTTTATCTGAAAGGTGAGATAAAATCACATCAGTACAATGCACCCTCAATGTATAATGCTTACAATTGTCTTTTAAACCTTTAGGCAAATACAGCAACTCACTTGGAAAGTATTTTTCAGAGCTCCTTTCCCTTTGTATGTGAGAAACATTCCTTTGAAAACATACCGACGCTTGAGGAATATCTTGGGATAAATGGAGAGGGAAATGGTGCAAATAAAGAGAAGCCATCAACCAGGTAAACATGAGCAATTCAATTGATCTCAATGCCTATGGGCTAGATAGGGGGGGAAAGACAGTTGCTGCTCAATATCCCAATGGTACTCCAGTGAAGGGTGTGTGTACATGTTTATTTATATCAGTAGAGGAGAGGATTGAGTGGAACTGTAATCCCGCCCCCCCACCCCCGTCCGCCTTGTATGTGTGGGCTAACACATGAAGAATTCAAGGGACGCTGACATCTGGGGAGCTCTGCCCAGATTTATTCAATTCTCCATTGAGATGAAAGCGCAGAATTGGGGTTGTAAACTATTCCTTAACTTTGATTTGCTGAACAGAGTCAGGCTATCATCGAAGTAAGGCAGGTTGTGCCAATGTAGCCACTAATAAAGCTTGATTTATCAGTATCAGTTAATCATGGGTTGCCATGGGACTTGAATGCACTCTGTTTTGTACTGATAGGATGTCCTATGAGGAACCAGTACCAGTAACACCTCAAATCTTGGATTTCTTTCACCTAAATCAGCTCACGCGCAGCAAAACATAAACTGATACTGGGCAACATGAGCACTGCCTGGTCACTGAGGAACTTCACTGCTGTAAATCCACAGGGGGCTTGGGGAAATGTACTTGATATTATGTATTCCTGTGATTTCAGCTTCTTGTCTGTTAAACACAAATTCCTCCAATCAAATATTTGCGTTTTGTAAGCATGCATGTCATTTAATTTTGTAAACTTATTTTGTTTTGTTTCAACAACAGATTTGTAAGTGCATGGGGAGCCACTGTGGATTTAAATAGATCGGTTTTAAGATCTTGGTGGAATGGATCGCATGCTCGAGAGAATCTTCTTTCCACATTGGGCGTTGCCCAGTATCAAAAAGTATGGCCTTTCTGTGTAATTGGTTTTAGTTTATTGAAGCATTGTCAATCTAGAGGCCACGCTTTATACCTCATCGGCCAAATCAGATATTCAAATCATACCAATATATTTGTCGACCACCACCTGCCATCCATAACCTATTATTGCCATTACACTTGTCAGATGCCTTTTAATCATTTCCTTTATATGTCAACTTAGCCAATTATCGGTATTGAACTAACCAGTCTTTTGTGCCTAGGATTTATCCAGTGACCTTCAGAACATTTTTTAAATATATAAAGATCAAATCCTTTCTACTGTTTAGTACTTTATTGTTTAATCAGGGGTCTGGTGTTTGAACCTTCACTATATTTTAAAATTATTGTTTCATTGCTAATGATTTTTATCCCAAACATAAATTTTCCATTGCTTTTTAATTACTTATTTGGAATTACTGGTGGCATTAGCTGCCAACAACTGCAAAAACCAAAAACGACTGCCATGTTCCAGTTTCTTCTCTTGCTGACCCCTCTCCAAATTAAAAGTATTCATTTTCTCTTCCATTACGTTGTTCTGATCTGTTCCTGTACTTCACTTCTCTCTGATGTCACGTTCTACTTGGGACAATTTCCTTGTTCTCTTCAGGGCAGCTTTCCTCTCCTCCGTTTCACTTCTCATGTCATTCCTCTTCTCTTAACATTTAGACGCCAAATAATTGATACTTTGTTAATATAACTTTTCATCTGTTTGTGGTGACTGTAACCCTTGAAGTGCATTTTAACAGGTATGATGATCAGCAGTAGGCAAAGAAACGATAAAACCCAGAATCTGATCACTAGATGCCACAAAAAATCCTGAAATCTCTTATATTGAAAGTGAATTGGGAAAAGTCACCCCCAAAAACAGTGACCTTGAGCATCTGTACCTTGAAGGCCCAGTTGTACATTTACAGCATCTTTGTCAACAACAACAATTTGCACTTCTGTTGTGCCCTCCATGCAGGGTAGTGACTCAGAGTGCTTAGCAGTGGCAGAGCCTGACTTTGAGCCGGGCTGGGGGCATGTGGGGGAGGTGACCATAAGCATGGTCGAAAAGGAAGGTTTTCAGGCCGGACTTAAAAAAGGGGAACGAGGGGGCAAGGTGGAGGGATTGAGGGAGAGTGTTCTAGAGTTTCGGGACCTAGTGCCTGAAAGTGCGATCTCTGATCGTGGGGCGGAGGGTGCGAGAGACGAGCAGGAGGCCGGTGCCAGTCGAGCTGAGGTGCCCGCTGTGGATTGGGGAGTGAGGAAGTCAGAGAGATAGGGAGGTGCCAGGGAGTGAAGCGATTTGAACACGAGTGAGAGGATTGTGATGTTGATCCATTCAGTGGTGGGGAGCCAGTGGAGCCTAGGCCAGAACTGGTGAGATGTGGGTACGGAGTTTGGTTCAGGCAAGTATGCGGGCAGCGGAGTTCTGAATGAGCTGGATCTTTTGAATAGTGGGGCTGGGGAGACTGGCAAGGAGTGTGTTTCAGTAATCCAGCTGGGAGGTGACAAACGCATGCACGAGGGTTTCGGCTGCATTTGGGGTAAGGTACAGTCAGAGGCGGGCAATGTGGCGGAGGTGGTAGAAGGCAGTCCTGGTCAGGGACTGGAGGCGGGGGAGGAAGGACAGCTGGGGGTCGAACCGGACGCCTAGATTGTACACTGATTCTGTGAGTGTGAGGGAGAGCCCAAGGAGATTGAGGAGTTCAGATCTGCAGGAGTGAAGGCATTGACGGGAGCCAAGGAGTATGGCTTCCATCTTGTCCACACTCAGCTGCAGGAAATGACTTGCTGAGTCATATCATAGACGGGATAGTGCTGTTTATTCTATTGCTTAGTTTACATAAACAAAGCTGGTTTAGATAACACTGGGTTATTCATTCACTGTTTAATTAAGCAGTTTTTGCTTTCCTGCCTTACGAACATGTTCGCTGTATTAATAATACATGGCTTGTTGCCAATATAAATCCTTGTTTAACGCAGTTACGAGCCACGAGGTGGTGCTCTTCAGCACCAAAGTGATGGTACTTGCCATCAAAGGCTTGTAGATGCTGATAATCGAACCAATACTGGTGGTAGATTGTTTTGTTCGAAGCACTTTCAAACATCCCAGTGGCTTGCTGTAGAGTTAAAGTAAGCAAACAGTAAGGTCAGGCTTTTATTGACAACATAAACAGAAATGGTATGTTATGATTTGATGAACACCCCCCTCCCCCTCCCCCCCATACAGCAATACATTTCTAAGAATTAAACAATTTATCATATCGTATTTATCGTAACTGCAAATGGCAAAAATGTTTAACCAGCCTCTGTTAGGCAAATGGATCTCAACTGAGCATGTCTCATGTTTCAAAGAGCTCTTTGCTCCCGACTTCTGGAGAAAATGCATTGACAGATTCATTATAACCATAATACTGGATTACTAGCTTGCTTTTTCATAGACGGGCCATTTTGTGATTGATCTATCTTGTCTTGGATTGCCTGGGAACCCAGTGTTCTGATTAGAACTCAATTTCCTAAATAAAAATTCTGTCATTCGTATCTACGTTGACGGATGGGAGTTAAGACCATTTAAGAAAAATGCTTTTCAATGCCCTGTAGTTTATGTCTCTTGTAGATGGCCCTTATGCTGGTAAAGGTTTGAGCCGCTGAGTTTATATGAAGCTGTTCGGTCACTTGCCTTAGCAGATTAATTGTGGGCAGAAACTTGCTGTTGGATTACTAGAGAAATGCTGTTACATCATTCCCCAAAAAACATTTCTCTCTTCCTCTCCATCAGTTGTTTTGGAAAATGTCACTGCATCTGTGGGTGTGTGTATGTGTGTGGTGTCTTTATTTAAAAATATATATTCTTTTGGTATCATTCCTATGCCTTTGAAAGGGTTAAGAAATGAAATGAATCTTAACATTGAATGTGCTCTCTGTTATTAAAATAATGAATGATTTTTATTCTATGCTTCAAAAAATGGACTTTTTGTTCCAACATATTTCTTTAGTACAGTATCTACTGGTAAGAGCTGAGGGAAATAGTGAATGCTTTCATTTCTCATTATCATAAACAAGGGGTGTCTCAAATGGTAAATTTGTTGTGAAGGCATATATTTTTTCTGCAAGATGGAAACAATATTTGACGATTTGACTTCTAGAATTGGTATATATTAAAATTCTATTCCTGAAAATATGATGGGTCATCCTGTCACTTGCATTAATGTTACAAGAGAATTATTTCTACATTTGGTCTTATTTTTCTGCAGGTTTGTTTATCTAGTTTTCCTTTCTTTCCCCGTGTAACCTTTGTAAAACATCCAGTTTCCAGGGGAGAATGTGCTCTCCCCATCAACCTTGGAGAAGATTGGGGCATGTCCAATGGTTACTGCCTTACCTGAAGATGGCAACAAGCCACTAATCCAGACCAGGGTAAACATAAGTAATAACAATAATACTCCTGTATATTAGCAGATAATTTTATGCATTTATATAGCGCGATACAAGATCTGAAACCTTGCATGAACTTTTTTACAATCTAAATCTATATTTCTTATGAATCGCATTTCGAATTGTGCTTATTGTGATGTACTTAATGCATCAGAAATCGCTGTAACAAATTATTCGTTTGAAAATACGACTCATTCTTGCTAAGGATTTGGATACCGGCGCAAGAATCTTATGATTTTACATTGAAAGGGTTGAACTGATAACTGTGGAGTGGGACGTCTTTCCGATGAGAAAGGCGCTACATGAATGTAAATTGTTGTTGTTGAGTGTGTTTGGCCTTTCCCCACCTCCAATCAACAAGAATTTCAGCTAATCCTCTCATTTTGAGTTAACTTTCTTTTGAAAGGCAGTATTATTAACCCTAAAGAATACAACATTTGGGAGTGACCGAAGGTTTATTCAGAAACTTACATTTATATAGTGCATTTCATGTGAAAGAAGCATCTTGAAGCACTATATAAATGCATACAAGTGTTTTTATTATAAACACCTACATGACGTGACCTATGCAGGGACCCTTAGTTGAAGAGAAGTACTTTTTCCTCTCTACTTGTTCGGAATACTATGGGTTTATTTATTACATCTTGTGAAATTTTGGAATGGGTTCAGCTCATGAAAGATGTGGATTTGAAAAGCAAATATTCAGACTAATGTAATCAATTAAAGTTCCTAAACCCAATTCTAGCTGTGTAGAATTTTAGCTCTTATGGTCGTGCTTTTTAGCCAGAACCTCTGTTATAGAATGTTAGTAATTTTCAACACTGTGTGCGTGTGTGTTGCGACAGCTTTACTTATTTTATACAAAGTTTATCCCCCCACAAGTTTAGTTTCCCCCTCAGTTATGTTTCATTTGTTGTACGTTGATTTATGAGGACGGAGCTTGTGCAGCTGCCGTAATCTTTTTTAAAATTCCCTTTTAAATCTCTGCGGATGCTTTCCTCCTCAATTTATTTTGTGGCAGATTAAGTTCCCACATCAAACAGCCTTGCAATTTCTCCCAATGTATAATCCATCACTCATGTCCTGAGCATCTCTGAGGTGATTGAGATCTCTTATGTTCTCTTTTGGAGGTGTGAATCTGAGATGCTACGCTGCGTTCCAAATGCAGTTTGTGGTTATTGTTGTTGTTGTTGTGATGCTACTCTCTAGTACTGAGGCTTAATCGAACCGGTTAATCACAGAGAAACAACAACAATTTGCACTCCTATAGCTTTTCACAGATGGATTGGTGACTGAAAGCCCGTCAAAGAAATGGGTCTTTAGATGGGCTTTGAAAGCAAAGAGGGGAGGCAAGGCAGAGAGATTTTTTGAAGAGATGGCAGGAGCAATGTGACCGAAAACTCATCTGCCAGTGATGGGGAGGAATGGGTGGGATGAAATAAAGCAGACTAAAATTGGTGGGACAGAGCAAGTGGCCAGGGACTAAGGTTAAAAAGAACAAAAAGAATCATGAAGCTTCTTATCAGATTGTAAAGAGTTTCATGAGTAATTATCGTCGAGTGCAGTGACTGTTTTTGTAAACAAATGTGGCAGCCATTTGTCTCTGGGATCCTACAATGACCAATTAATCTGGATTATAGTGGTATGAAAATGAACAGTGTGTGTTTATCTGCTTTCTTGGCAGGGAACGCTGCATAGTGCAGTGAATTTCCAAATCTTTCTGACTGTCCAACTAGAATAATGGTTCCAATAATAAATATTTGAACAAAGCATAAATCGCCAGGGCTAAATGACATTAAAATTTCAATTTATAATAAAAATGGCTGTTCTCCGGTGAATTTAATATCAACAGATTACAAAACTCAGAAATTGTATCCATTTGTTTTTGCTCTGTTTGTTTATAGATCTCAATACCTCCGAAGCAAAGAAATGGTCATACTTTCACCCATCGGTTGGAGTCTACATTTTTACAGTGGCTGCAAACTGATGGAAAGAGAGTACGAACAAATCCAAATGTAAAGGAGAATTCACAGTTTCTGTGATGCAAAAGTAAAATATTTCTCATTTAGCCTTGATGCTTTTCCCTCTGTTCCTCCATCAACTGAGATTAACCCAAATATTAGTGTAAACTTTTATCTTTTCAATCATTACGAGATCTCTCTGTTTAATGTGCATATTCCTTTACTTTTTAGCAGTTGATTGCTATCTTGCGATTCTGTCAAAGCACTTAAGAGTCTGCAAGTTTTAAAGTTAATGAAAGCTAAGACATTGCCTTAATTTCTATTTTGAAAAGGTCTCACTTCCATACTTGTGTGGTGCTATTCCTATATACGTATATTTCACACACAAAATGTACAGTCAATTCACTTTACAGCATATCCTATGAAGCGTTTTTGAAGATGTGATAAGGCGCTATATCAAATGCAAGGATTATTATTATTCCTGGGTAAATTTAACATGACAACTATTTGGGACATTAAAAGTCTAAAGTGCAGCTTAATGGTTTTAAGAAAACGGAGTGGTATGTACCTGCACATATTGTATATGTTTTCTCATTGTGTTAGTTACTGGTATACGTGCATTTTTTTTAAATCACAAAATAGTCACCCAGTGAAATGGAAATGAATGAGGAACAGACATTATTTATTTCTGTAAATAAGAGATAAATGCTTTAGTTATTGTTGGACCAGCTATGGGTTGTTGCAGACAACCCTGTAATTATCACAGGGTTTAAAAACGAATATTATTAAAATCTTGATTTGATCTGCATCTTAATATTTATAATGCTTGTAATGTGTTTTCTATAACTAGATTGTTATAGAGTCTTTAAAATGGTTCTTTGTTTTAACTAAATTCTGCTTGTGCAAGGAATGAACAGCTGCTTAGCTATATCGGCTAAACATGTGAATGTGTCATTTGTAAACCTATTTCTATGGCAGAATTTTTTTTGAAATAAATATATATTGAATTTTTATATAATTGATGTAGTGTTTCTGCACTTGGTCTCCCAGGCTATAGCTTTTGCTCTTACTGTAAGTCATATTCTATCATTTTCACAGCATCTCATCCAAGTCTGATTATGAGTTTTAAAAAATTGCCATTCTGGAATAAATACAATAGTGTCCCATGCTTTTAAATTTTATTTTAAAAATACAGTGACAAATCCAATGGATGTAAAGGAAGACAAGAGCCTGGGTATAATTTGTGGAACATGTATATTACACTGTCTTTAATAGTGACTAGAATACAGGCAATCTAAGCTTTGGTTATCGAGGATTAGGTACGATACCCTATGTTTTGTTCTTTCATATATAAATTCAATGATATTCTGTCACTAATGCTCTTCCACCAATAGACTTTCACAATTGGTTATCAATTCAGATTTTAGATTCATGCAGAAAGAATCAACACATAATCTGTGCAAATACATCATTCACTTTAAAAATCTCAGCAAAACTGGTTTTGTTTGTACTACAATGTTGAACTCCATTGCATCTCGCAGTGTCGAATCTGTAATCCTCCAAAACAAAAGCAGTTTTCAAAAGAAATCAGCTTCCAATTACAAAAGCAATAACATTTTACCCAAACTTTATTTTGATGAGGCAAAAAAATAAACAAGTAGCAATCAATAGAAACTGACCTGTTACAGTAGTATTGCAAAGGAGGAGACTGGTAAAATAGAAATATTTACAGTACACGCTTAAAAAATTGACTCTTCTAAAATTTAAATGTAATACAACAGATCATGCAATACCAGCTATTCACGTCAAGCATGTTCTAGCAAACCATGCTTGCTGTGGTATTATCATGATTTATCACGTGCTGTGTTTTAGCAAGGCTGGAAACATATGGCATTCAAATAAAGTAGAAAAACATTGATAGTATTACTATGTGAAACTCACACACACACACCATGGTTGGATTTCTCCATGTAAATTCATTCTAAGTGTTGTATTAGGCTGGTCCTTTGAAATCAACCCTTCCAGATAAAGAGGTTTCATTATACGTACTGTAACGGTGAAACAGAGTAGCAAACGTATCCCTTTCGGCATGTGATAACTTGACAGCTGATTGCAGTCGAAAAATCACATGTAGACTGCAGGGGGCTGGCTACCGGAAATACTTTGGCATGAACGCAAAATTCAGAGCAGTCAATGTGGTACAACCCAAGGTGAAAACGCACGCAGAAGTGGATTAGGAGAGAATCCTAAAATGGTCAATTGAGAAAATGGGTTTTATTACCCCAGGAACTTCAAAAAATGTATCCCTTCCTGAGGATGCAAAGTCAGAACTCCCACAGACTTCCTTTCAACGCTGATTAGGTTATTTTTATACCCCCAAAGTGACATGAAAGCCAAACTGAAAATTAAGATTTTGGTCAGCAACTTCAATTTGGGTTTTTGAGCCTTCACTCACATTACTACAGATAATTTCACCGAAGGACGTAGGATTTATAGTAGCGTGCTGTTTTTCAAAGATTTATCATGATCTGAACATAGAAAATACTTTTCAATCAAGTTAAGGTCACTGACAAATAAGACATTGCTCAATCAACTCATTATTAGTGTTCTCTTTACAAAATACAAAATAGAAGACTTATTTTACTGAGGATTTAGGGCATAAATATCCCATGAAACCTTACATATTCATCTGGGCTAGATAAACGCCACCTATTTAAAACAGAAAAGCAAGTTTTAAAATACTCTTGGTTAAAGCTACATAAAGCTTGCAATTAAATTGCTCTGTTGCTTACAGTTTTACCGCAGCAATATTAATCTATTCTGTACACAAGGTTCACTTTTAACACACTTCAACCCAACACATGTGTTTAAAGCAACCATAAAGTAACTAATGGAAACAAATACACAAGCGCTAACGTCCTTCCAAGTCAAATTACATTTGATACCATCTGATGCAAATTTGACCAACTTTATTGAACACTATTTATTCCTTTCATTCTAACATGTAACCATGTTTACCTAGTGTATTCACATGGGCAGGGGAAAATGGAGCAGGGTAAAGGCGTTGGGGAAAGAAGGATATATTTTATGAAAGTTAAAAATAAGAGCACTCACAGAATAAGCATTCAGCTATGGAGCGAGTGTGTGTGTGTGTGCGTGCATGTGTATGTGTGCATGGAGTAGTTGGGGAGGTGGTCAGGCCATCTATGCTATGGGTTTCAATTGTATCCTGGTTCTTACGGACTACTGTCAGCTATTCAAAATACTCACAATCTTGCTCCTAATGTACAAACCCGTATTATGACTGCCATTACATTACACAACCCACTAATCTCACTTGCCACTATAACTTACTTCACACTAGATCATCCCCTATCAGCCAAGTGTCCATGGCTAGCAGGCATTAGATTCAAGCTATTATCTGGTGTGCTCCAAAATACGAAAAATACACACAGTATTTCCCCACCAAAAATGTATCCTCGTTTCAGGGAAAGGGTTCAGAGGTGCGCAATGAATGCAGCTTCACATCCTCTGTGTCTCCATCCTATTGTCCAGGATTCACTGGTGCAATCATCAGTAAGGCAAGGCCCAAGTTTTTATGTGCACCAAATTCTTTTAGATTGGATCCTGTCATATTTGATTTTAAAAAAAGATTTTAAAAAAATGAAGTTGGCGAGTTAACAAACCAGTTTGTTTGAACGCTTCATTATATTGCAGCACAACACTGCAACTAAATCTCTTAGCTCCATGTCAAAATACACCATCCAGATGACTCCTCTGGAAGTACCCTCACTCGATCACATATTATTTCTTTTCTAATGTGGATCTGCTCACCACAATATCAAATGCATTCTCCGTTGATGGTTTTTCCATCAGTACAATGGCTCTGGTACTTAATCTCGATAGAGAAAATGTGAAGAAATATTTGTTTTTAGGTCAGATATCAGATCATCTACGGTCACAGTGTTACAACAAGAAACTCTCAGGCACAGTTTGCTGTCATATGTAGTTCTTCAACGTTCCTTCATAACATTGTCTTACATAAAATAAAATGCCTAAAACTGATGGGAGGATTAAAAAGTCCTAAAACAGTTGATAAATTAAATAAATCGGATTAGATCACAAGTATTTAAATCCATTTCACGTTTAAGAAAAAAAAAGTTACATTGCTCTGGATAAATAAATTTTTTTTTTCCCCGGCTGACAGAAGATTTAATATTTTTAGAAAAAATTAAAAACCAGAAGCTGCAACCTCTTATGTACAGCACGCATATAATAAACCAACACTTGATGTTAGCGCTTGGAGAGGTAGTGTAAGCCACATCCAACAGCAAAGCCTGTCAGACTGGAGCAAAGACTTAACATACAAGACAAAACAGCAAACACGTAGAAATTTAGAGTATAAAATTCTAAAAAAATAAATAGTTTAGGTGTCATATAAAATGTTCTTGTAACCTTTTCTGATAAAGGTGCCATTGTTGGTAAAAAGATTACCATATAAAAGTCTTCTGCGAGGAAATAAAGCACACGTGCACACACACGCACACACACTATGCCACAGTCAGTCTGTAGAACAAGTGTTCATCAATAGGTCCTTTGGAAAACTAGTTCTTCCATGATTCAGATCCGAAAAGCGATATAAATATGTCCACGAACACAAACAGTTTAAAAATTGTTTAGTGCTACCATATCATAGGCTTTGTCAATAAAATGAGAACCACCCAGCATTTTGCACCAGTGCTGTAGTTTCATCAAGATGACATTATCTCATATAAATCATCCAAGTGGTTATGGTCAGATTCCAGGGTTGCAAGCTAACTGCCTGGTATTGTTTTTGTGGCAGTGTAGCCTTTTGAAAGCGAGTTTAAAAGTCAGTTGGAAATCTCATTGATTAAACTCCTCAAAAGATTTAAAAAGTTCAACTCACATCCTGCTATGGTGGTGGCTATTGCTGTCGCTACACCTTAGGTTTCTAAGTGATTAGGAAGACAAGCATCCAAAACTCTAAAGCACCCATTGAAGGATTAAGATCCTACAAGAATTTCCATGATATGATCCAAGTCACTGAAATCCACTCTGCAGATTTGAATGGAGTTCACCGATGATGAGTTGCATAAATGAAAGGGTTTTGGAACATCATCCACAGTGCCCGATAGCGATCTGGCAGGAGTGGCAGGAAGCAAGCACAAGTCAGTGTCATACATGGACGTGTCAATATCTTCAAATATATCATCAAAAGCGAGATCCGTCAAGTAACTCGTCGAATTTGTGATTTCAAACGAACCAAAAACAGAGTCTGCAGGTTTACTTCCCTGTAGCCTGTCTTCTGAAGGGGCTCCCGCACATTCTACACTCACATCATCCTCTGCAGGTGCTGGACAAGGCGATGGACTCGTGTCCTCCATGAAGTCCAAGTCTTTGAGGATGGAAGAAATGGCTGACGACATGTCGTCATCTGAAAACACCCCCAAAGAATTCTCATTCGGATTTTCCATAGAATCTGAAGTGTTGTCCGCACCTGAAGGATTATGGAGCACGGGTGAAGACGTTCCAAGAAATTCAATGCCGGTTTGAGTGCTGGTATAAGTCTCCACACCGCACACGCTCAGTGCTTGCTGACCGCTCTCTTGCCTCATATCCTCTTGGATTTGCCTCACTGTATTTGCTATGAGAACAGAGCGATGCAAGTTCGGTTCCACAAGCATCCTGCAGCTCTGCAATTTAATGAGGCACATATTGAGTACTAACTGTCTCTGCAAATTGTAGGGCAGCCCTGGGTTGGAATCAAAGGCACCAGCCATGTTTTCTTCGTAATCAAGTTTGCGCTTCAGGCCTTTAGCCAACATGAATCTGGAGGAAGAAAAAAAAACAAAGAAAGACAATTAATTACATGTGGGGCTGTACTCAATAATTCACTGTTTAATACAATATGGATTCAAAGACGTTATATAACTAGGTCTCCATAAAGTCACAGATAATCTTCATACTGTCCTTGCAAAAATGGCAGAAGATTTGATACACAGCAAATTGCAAGCCAAGATAAAAAAAGCAAAACGTTATACTAAACACAAATGTAGTATATATCTGAATAGATGGTAGAATTATGAAGTGCCTGAAGTCCCAACGAAACCCACGTAGATAAACAACATCGTGTTCTCTTTGGATATTACCATAAATAGAAAGAGGGGAGAAAAAAAACAAGGAAAAATATTCCACTCAGAACATGAACGGATTGTTCCTAATGAAGCACAATAACTAGAAGATAGATACCATTAAACATTTACGACAACTTTAGTGTAACCAAGCCAGTACCTTGTGATTTTTATAGTATCAATTTAGTATGAAAGAAGACTTGATTAAAAAGGTAATGAACGCGCTGCTTAGTGTAAAATGTCTTCAGTCGTTTTGTTTTAAAATTGTAATGTAGCAAAGAACGTGGTGACTGTACTTTGCATTATTAATTGAGTTTCTGCATTTAAATGCAAATATTATTGTAATAAAAGCAATAACATCTTATTGGGCACTCATAATTAAGAGTTCAAATAACACTGTGAAAGGTAGGAATTAAGTCATAATAACCAAACCACCAAACGCATTCACATAAATGTGATTTATTTATATAAATACGTTACATCAGGTACTCCTTGCATTTCCATGCAGGGAAATCCCCAAGTTCACCATGTTCACCACAATCCTAAAGACCCAAGATTGAATGCCAACAGGGTGAGTGTTAGGGGCCAATTTATTGACCAATGGGTTTACATAAATCTCTGAACAATCTCGTTCACTAAGCTTCTTCACTGCAGTTGCTGCAAAGAGTTTAATCCAAAGAAAGCCAGAGGTCCAACATTCATGTCCAGTTCCCCAAGTCAAATGACACATTACCATATGTATATGTTTTCAAACCAGCACAAACTCATCACGAGCACACTGCAGCACTTCATCATAGGATAGTAACAATTGTATATCTTAGGAGCCAGAAACACAAGCATGCAAATAAATAATTCAGCACAACAGGCAACGTACAGAAAATAAGCAGCGGTTGGCTTCACCACTGGATTATCCATTTTATCATCAACACAGAGTACTGCCAGAGCCTGTGACAGTGAAATTTTCGTTTAATTCTTTTAAAAAGAGCAATTTCTCTATGCGTGTGAGAAAATTTTGATGTGGATTACCAAGACCATTTTACAGTACTAGTCACTCTTTTGTTTTTAAACATCCAGGATGCCATTTTGCATTATGCTACATCCCTAATCTTATACAGCAGCATATTTAATCAAATCCTTAGCAATCCAGTTATTTTTCTTACCTCCTTCAATGTAACAAGTCCTTATGAGATTTATTGCACATTAATATATGCATTAACAGTGTGATTTGACTGTACACTGTCCTGATAAAATTGGTTATTCACTTAACGGCTGTTTGTGGTACATTGGCTGCTGTGTTGGCCTACAAATGCACAGTCACCACATTTTACAGTAATTTCCATGAAGCGGTTCAAGACATTTTAACATGATAAAATGCTGTATCAAATGCAAGGGTTATTATTAGTATTAATCCTTTTGGTGCAATTGTTCTTTAGGCTTTGCAAACTTTCGGGTAGTGCATATAAATAGCAGTAACTAAATGAAAGGACCAATTTTCTTATCATTAGCAGCAAAATGTAAAAAAGGACTTCAAGATCATCTGAAACCAGAGCTATTTTTGTAAATGAAATCAGTTTTGTGCAGAAATTTGACAAATATCTACTGCACTGAGTTTGCAACGCATGAAAATTCAGTCTCTCTTTTGCTTCAGATTTTTAAATCGCATCAGAAATTACTGTGCTTTAACTAGTGATTTTCTTCGAAGTACCATATCCACATCTGAGCCAGGTATTCAAATCGAGCTTCAAGAAAAAATTGGGTCATTTCAAATGATACGTATAGGAACCTGCGAAAAAAATAATTGGTCTGCATAAATTAAGAGCTTTATTCTTCTCATTCCAAAAAAAGACTGAATACCACAATTTATCACACATTTATTTTCCATCAGAAAAAGGCCACACCACCTTGTGTCTCACAAATAACAGTCTGAAGTTATTTAATGATAAAAATGTGAACAATTTAATGGATTCACATGATCTAAGTGTACATGGGAGGTACTACAAATATCAGGTATTATCCTGATACAGTATGAACATTTAAATTAGGATACTGCGATACATTAATCAGATTTTAGGGTGCATTTTCAGACCAAAAGAAGCTGCAAGTTTTACAAGCCACTTAAACCTGCCTATTCTCTCCCAATCATCTTCCCACTCCCCAAAACATTTTAGCCAAATCAAAAGAGTCAAAATTGTTGTTGTAGACATATAATAATCAATGCTTTTGATATAGTGCCTTATCACATTGTTGAGACATCTCAAACCGCCTCACACGATATACTATAAAGTGGTGGTAATGTTTGATGGGTATTTGTGGGCGAATGGGGCAGCAAATTTGCAAACAGCAATGTCCCACAAACAACCATGGAGTGAGTGGATAATTTTATCTGGGGGATTATTGGTTAGGAGACACTTCATTTGGAGAAACTCTAATGGAGTTTCGCTCTAAAGGAAAGCAGTCAGTTCCATTTTACTATAGAGATAGGAAAAAATACTTCACTTTCTGGTGAAAACTTTACAATCATCTCTCCCACAGGAAGTAGAACACTTCTCACCCTTTGCATATCCATCACCTGACAAAACTGTAGGCTTGGATAGGAAAGTGACTGCAGCACAGTTATTTCTGCCAACTTCTAGCATTTCAAAGTGATACAAAACTTTGGACACATTTGCCAATATGAGATGAAGAAGTATTTGTCTGAAGTGTTTGTGTCGCTGATGAAATGCAAGCTACAGCTAAGCTACGGAGTTCATATTATTCATCACAGGAAATGTTAGAACTACTTACAAAACGAAAAAATAGAATAAAATATGCACGGAGGAAGTCCCAAGGCGTTGAACAGTCATGGATTAGGACTCAAGCGTGGGGGGCAGGGTTGGGATACGGAAGGGCAGAGAGGTAGTAGAGTAGCTGAAAAGGAGCGTCTTGAGTCGTGCCTTGAAGGAGGCAAGGGAGGGAGCAAGGCGAAGAGATTGTGGGATGGAGTTCAAAGGGTGGGGGCAGAGAGGCTGAAACCCAGCCGCCGATGGCAGGGCGGGTCAGGCGGGAGACATGGAGCCTGCTGAACAGAGGGAGCGGACAAGTTGATAGGGGATCAGCAGGTCAGAGAGGTAGGAGAGGGCAAGGCCGTGGAGGTTCCTGAAAGTGAGGATGAGGATTTTGAATTCTATCCTCTGTGGTATGGGGAGCCAGTGGAGCCGGGCGAGGATGGGGGTGGATGGGGTACAAAGCCTGGTGCAGGAGAGGACACAAGCTACAGAGTTCTGGATGATCTGCACCTGTTGAGGGAAGACTTGGGGAGGCCGACAAGAAGAGAGTTTCCGTAGTCGAGGCTTGAGGTGATGAATGTTTGTATGAGGGTTTCGGCGGCCTGAAGGGGTGAGGCAGTGGCGGAGTCGGGCAATGTTGCAGAGGTGGGGAAAGGCAAAGCGGGTCATGGCACAAATATGGGGGAAGAGAGGACAGTCGAGGGTCGAACAAGACGGGTTCCTGACTGGCTCAGTGAGGTGGAGTGTGCATCCGTGGATGCTGATGCTGTCAGCACCCGAGGTGTGGAGGCGCTGGTCTTGCTGACATTCAGCTGTAGAAAGTTGGCTCTCATCCAGGACTTGATGTCTGACTGACAGTCTGTCAGGATGTCGGTGGTCCTGGAATTGAGGGTGGAAGCAGAAATATAGAGTTGGGTGTCATCCACATACATGTGGAAGTTGACCCAATGTCTGCAGATGATGTCAGCAAGAGGGAGCATGTAGAGGTTGAAGAGGAAGGGACTGAGGACAGAGCCTTGAGGAACACCACACGAGATTGTGCGGGGGCTGGAAGAGCAACCATTGATGGAGACAAATTGAAGCAACACTTATTGGGGAGGTCACTCAGCATAACCCTTCAGCCATTGTGAAAGAATGCAAGAGCTTTATAAAGACAATGGCAAATATTTAGGAGTGTATTGTAAAGCTCTGGGAAGAAGGCAGTTGTACAACTACTAAGATACATTCAAATTTGAGGAGATTGACAAATGTCTCCCGTTTATAGTAATAATAATCCTTGCATTTGATATAGCGCCTTATAATGTCTTCAAGATGTCTCAAAGTGCTTTACAGAATGTACTGTAAAGTGAATTGACCATATATTTTGTGGGCAAAACACAGCAGACAATTGCGTACAGCAGTGTCCCACAAACAGTCATGGATTGAGTGACCAATTTATTATTGTTTTTTGAAAGAATTATTAGCTCTGGAAAAGCGATGCGCCGGGTTCCTACAATACTGCTAGGTAAATAGAGGCATGTGGAGTAAGGAAACCTGCCCAATATTTCACCCTGCTGGAAATCAAATCCAGGTCCTCTCACTTGCAAGGCGAGTGCTCTAACCACTGAGCTAGACTTATGTATGGAACTGAACACATACAACCCTTTTCAGTGCTGTCCTGATCACATTTATATTTTCAAAACTTAAGATGTGAAAAATTAAACAAATTTGTGTGCAAATGAAAATGCTTTTGAACTAGAACTATCACTTTTAGACACAATGTCAAAACATTTCAATCCCTCCGCGAGTAAAAGGTCTGAACTTCAGTGCTGGAACAGGGGGCAATGAATAGAACTCCAGCATATGTGGCTTTTGCTCTAGGGCTCGATAGCATTTCCAAATAATGGCACTTACCAAATTAAATATAGCGCAAAATGAAGCAACTCCTGTCTAA